GAGGGCTGCCGGGCTGCCAGAGGGATGTCTGACTGCCAGCTTGGGCCCGTTCCCCCAGGGAGCGGGCCTAAGCCAGCAGGTGGACATCCTCTGAGGGGTCCCAGACTGCGAGAGAGCACAGGCCGGGCTGAGGGACCCCCCCGAGTGCACAAATTATTGTGCACCAGGCCTCTAGTATACATATAAAGAAGAAACAATCATACACATTAGCACTATGGAGAATTAACTATTTTAACTATTTGCTTCCAAGGGCTAATAGCAGAATGATTCCTAATGGGATTGGAATAAAAAAATAAAACAACAATAAAAACCCAAAATTTCTACCGTTGATAGATAAGTATGATTTTATCCATTTATTAACCCCCCCTCAAGATATATACATATATATGTAAAAAATGTGCCTTGAAGGATGTAACCTTTTATCTTGAGAGAAGGAGGGTAAAGGAGCTTTTCTTTTTTCTTTTTTTTAAAATATATTTTATTGATTTTTTTACAGAGAGGAAGGGAGAGGGATAGAGAGCCAGAAACATCGATGAGAGAGAAACATCGATCAGCTGCCTCCTGCACACCCCCCACTGGGGATGTGCCTGCAACCAAGGTACATGCCCCTGACGGGAATCGAACCTGGGACCTTTCAGTCCGCAGGCCGACGCTCTATCCACTGAGCCAAACCGGTTAGGGCAAGGAGCTTTTAATTTTTATCTGTATTGCTAGATTTTTTTTTCAAAGTGTGATTATGAGTATTCATAAATTACTTGTTAATTATAAAATTCTTGCTAGGGTCTTTAGAATATTTAATATTTTAAAATTGAAAAACAAGTTATTCTCAATTTTCTTTGCTGTATAAGCAGGTAATGGTGACTGATGGTTTAAAGGGAGCAACAGGAAGAGGAAACAATTGATTACAGTTCTTAATAGGAAGTCTATATCTTCCTGTTATTCTAAGAGGTTCTCAGTAGTTGCTTAACAAGGAAAAGAAGAAAGTTATTGGACTAAGCCTTTGGGAGGTGGAATTCATGCACTGCTGTGATGTAGAAGTTTCTGATATTTGAAGAAACAAGGTGATCTAGGTAGCTTCCTCTTTGCTATTCTAATACTCTGTATTTACTCGTGGATATCCTTCTATACTAATGCCCTTAACCTAATTGTTAAAAATGGGAGAAAGTTTCATTTAATATGATAAGGGAACCTACTTCTAGCTTATCTAAAAGTAACACAACTTTCAGTTGGTTCTGCAGCATGAAGGTGAAGAAATCAGGTAGTTGTTGCATGGACTTTACCCAAACTTGTGTTCTTCCTCTGCTTCTAGTTATCTAGTCTAGAGGTTATGTGTATGGTGTGCTCTGCTGGTAAGTCTCTGCTCTTTAGGCTTAACATACATGTGGGGCATGCATTCCTTCCAGCAGTAGTAGCTTCACTGTCACCTGTTTGGGCTTAGAAATGCTCCTTATCTGTAAATGTGATTTAAAATCTAAGCCATGATGCTTTATTTATTAAAACAAAACATTTAAGTGAAAAAAAAAAAAACTAAACTGTTAGATTCCAGAGCCACATAACCACTATTGTCTCCTGCTGCTGTCATTGCAGTTATATTAAATAAAGCCAAATGTTGATTATTTCTGATACTAGGGATTAAATTAAATCATAGATGGCCCTAAACATAATTCTAGTTTGGGCTGGAGTTTCTGTTTTCCTAGTCAAAGTCTCTAACCAAGCTGTTAATTGGTAGCGAAATGATCAGGTTTGAGTTATGTCCTTTTTATTTTTTTAAATGTATTTTTATTGATTTCAGAAAGGAAGAGAGAGGGAGAGAGATAGAAACATCAATGATGAGAGAGAATCATTGATCGGCTGCCTCCTGCACACCCCCTACTGGGGATCAAGCCCGCAACCCAGGCATGTGCCCTTGACTGGAGTCGAACCTGGGACCCTTCAGTCTGCAGGTCGACGCTCTATCCACTGAGCCAAGCCAGCCAGGGCTATGTCCTTAAAAAAAAAATTGTGAAATTCTTAATAAAACTGAAAAGGGCCAAAAGACAGGAAGAAGGAACTTTATAATGGATAATTTATAAACTGGACAGTCATCCCTGAATAATGAATGGTGGCTAAGTATCTTAAAGAACTCAGATGTAGGACCTGTATACATTCTTAGAATAAACCTATCTGACCATTTTTGACAAATATATTGAGCTCATAGATGTCTTGGGCCATCAACAAGTTAAATTGTCATCACAAACCACTATTTGAATAGGGGCTATTATTGGATGCTTTCTGAATTGTGTAATTAAGGAAATTATTTCTTATAGTAAAAAAGTCAAAATACAAATATAAAGATCAAAATGAAAAGTTGTGTTGACCATGGCTGTTTTGGGAAGGACTGATGTCCAAGTTCTTCCTTCATGGCATATAATCTGGACTCTTTATTTTAAACATTGATTTTTGTTTTAGGTGGAACAGATCCTAGCAGAATTTAAGGTCAGAGCCCTGGAATGTCATCCCGACAAGCATCCTGAAAATTCCCAAGCAGGTAGGTATTTAATAGCTGTTTCTCATGGAAATGAATAGCATATAGAACTAAAAAGCCATTGTAACTTAATTTTCTTTTCTCTATTACTCTCAAACTTATTCTTTTGTTCAATGCCAAAGAATGTTTTTGTACTATTGAATGGTAGGAGGGGAGGGAAGAGTGTAGAGTCTTTCCTCTAATGGTAGTTATTGAACATCCATTTTTCTTTCTGCTGTAATGTGCTGCTTCATGGTTTAAAATGTGTCCAGTTTATGCCTTATTTCACCAGCATTGGAGTGTTAACATAACTTAAGCACATTAGTAACCAGATGGTTGAGTTGATGAGAACTTTGCTGTGTTTTCTTCATTTCCGGTACCTGAACATGTCCACATATGCTACATGTCCATATGTATGATAATGTATTTACACTTTAGTTTTTTCATTTATGATAATTTAAAATCCATTATCATAAATTTAGACATAAATGCTTATGTATATCTTAACTTGAAAAAAAATACTAACAAACTAAAATCCTTCCTTAACCTATCTTCCTCCTGCTCCTCTCCTTCCCTTTAGAGCAGTGGTTCTCAACCTTCCTAATGCCGTGACCCTTTAATACAGTTCCTCATGTTGTGGTGAACCCCAACCATAAAATTATTTTCGTTGCTACTTCATAACTGTAATTTTGCTACTGTTATGAATCGTAATGTAAATATCTGATATGCAGGATGTATTTTCATTGTTATAAATTAACATAATTAAAGCATAGTGATTAATCACAAAAACAATATGTAATTATATATGTGTTTTCCGATGGTCTTAGGCGACCCCTGTGAAAGGGTCGTTCGACCCCCAAAGGGGTTTCAACCCACAGGTTGAGAACCGCTGCTTTAGAGCCAAACTTTCTGAAAAAGAAGTTCACAATTGATTTCTCTACTTCTCTTCTGCCCAGTTTTCCCAGTCTGACTTCCTCCTCACCTTTCTTGGAAATTGCTTTTGTAATAGTCACCAAGGACTTCTTGGCTGCCAAATCCAATGGTTGCTTTTTTTGTCTTCATTTTCCTTGAGTAGCAGGATTTGGTACTGTGGATCATGCCCTCTTTCTTGAAACGCTCTTTGCTCTTAGCAACCTGGGCATGTGACCTTGGCCGGAATCGAACCTGGGTCTCTTCAGTCCATAGGCCGACACTATCCACTGAGAGACAAACCAGCTAGGGCCTAACTATGTATTTTATCAAGTGTGTGAATAAATACATAAAGACTGGTACAAAAAATGTTTCCCTTATCTTAAAAATTATAAATATCTTTTTATTTTTTTTATTTTATTTTATTTTATTTTTTTTATTTTTTTTAAATAGATTTTATTGATTTTTTTACAGAGAGGAGGGAAGAGGGATAGAGAGTTAGAAACATCGATCAGCTGCCTCTTGCACGCCCCCTACTGGGGATGTGCCCGCAACCAAGGTACATGCCCTTGACTGGAATCGAACCTGGGACCCTTGAGTCCACAGGCCGACGCTCTATCCGCTGAGCCAAACCGGTTAGGGCTCTTTATTATATTTTTATAGCAATCCTTGATCCTTTTGATTTGTATAAGCAGATGTTTTTCCAATATAGGAAGTCATTTATTTATTTTTATTTTTTATTTTTCAAATATATTTTATTGATTTTTTACAGAGAAGAAGGGAGAGAGATAGAGAGCCAGAAACATCGATGAGAAAGAAACATCGATCAGCTGCCTCCTGCACATCTCCCACTGGGGATGTGCCCGCAACCCAGGTACATGCCCTTGACCGGAATCAAACCCGGGACCTTTCAGTCCGCAGGCCGACGCTCTATGCACTGAGCCAAACCGGTTTCGGCAGGAAGTCATTTATTTTGTTAAATACTTAGCTATTACTTTTGCTCATTTGATTCCCACTCTTTTTATTAAGCCATAACTTGTTTAAGGCCACAGGAACAAATCATAAGTGTAAACTTGACAGATTTGTGTCTATGCACAGCCAGTTTAACCACTGCCCAGGTGAAGATGTAGAACATTTCCAGCACACTTTTCATGTCCTGTTCAGAGTCAGACCCTCTCCCATTTGTGGATCTCTGTTGTCATTGATTAGTTTTGCCTGGTTTTGGATTTCATGTAAATGGGATCATACAATATGTACTCTTTTGTGTGTGGCTTCTTTTGATTTACATTGTGTCTATGGTATTAACCCATAGTGCACATGTAGCAATAGTTCACTCTTTGTCATTGCTGGGCCTTTAGGTACAAACCCCCTCACTTTGTGCCCTCCCCCATCTCTCCATTTTCATTTTCTCTCCACCACCATGCTAGGGTCCATGTTTTAGCCACTCAGAATATTTTGGTTCCATAGGTGCTCTGCTTTCTACTCTTCAGACCTTAACGTCTTCTGCTCCCTCTGCCTGGAACTCCCCTGAGGCCTGCACACCTCCCTGCCCTGCTTTGATGGGCAGGTCATGCTCCTGCATCAGGTCTCAGCTTAGCCACCTCTTCCTCTGGGAAGTCACGTGCGACTTCCAGAGCACTCTGTACGTCAGGCAGCAAACTGCGTATCTGACCATCTCCTTGTTGCCTATTTGCTTATTAGTCAAACTGGAAGCTCAGTGAGGCTTATCTTGCTCCGATCGGTGTGCCCCAGCAGAGGACATCTACCTACCGCAGAGGACATCTACTTTGTGCAAATAGTAATTAGTGGAGTGAGTGAATGAGTGACTTCAAGGACATTTCTTTAGAAGACATTAAGTACTTCTCTGAACTGAAGTTAATATTAAAATAGATTTTCTAGCATAAAAGTGTAAACGTTTGATAAACACTTAAAAACAACTATCAGCCCCAGGTTATTCTTTAACTGGATTTTTCTCCCAATGAAGCGTGGCTTTGAGTATTTGTCTGTCCCTGGCACAGTTTCTATTTGGGGAACATGATGAATCACTGTGCAATCATTGCCATTTCTAGTTGCCATAGTGATGGAGCTTTCATGTACCGGCTACCTCAGTCTTCTTGTTCAGAGAAACACTAGACTGTGTAAATATTGTTTAAAATGAAAAGATACACAGACATCAGTACCTTTCCTTGTCAGCCTTGCAGTTGACAGATGATTCAACCTTTGGGTAGAAATAGTTTTCAAGTCTGTTTAAGCATCCATTTACTCAATTTGGATGAATAATGTAAGTGGTTCTTTACATACTTGGAAAAGGATTATGGTTCCTGATAAAAAATATTTTAAGGTCCTAGCCGGTGTGCTCAGTGGTTAGAGTGTTGGCTTGTGGACTAAAGGGTCTCGGGTTCAATTCTGCTCAGGGGCACATACCTTGGGTGCAGGTGCGTGCAGGAAGCAACCAATTGATGTGTCACTCTTACATCGATGTTTCTCTGTCTCTCCCTCAAACCAATTGATGTGTCACTCTCACATCGATGTTTCTCTGTCTCTCCCTCCCCCTCCCACTCTCTGTAAAAATCAATGGAAAAAATATCCTCGGGTGAGGAGTACCCCCCTCCCCCAATTTTTAAAAAAATGTTAAACAAAAATTCACCCAGATGTTAACTTTTAACTTGACAGAAGTCCAGAATACACTGGAAAGATTTTGAAGTGTATTTCATTAAAGTGAAAGGCTAGCCTGTAGAGCAAGTGTACGTAGGAGAAATTAAACATGTATATATACCTTTTTGGACCACTAAATGTAGTGTCAACCATTGCCATTGAAATCACTGATTTGTTAGCATGATGGAGTAGGAGATATGAACATAGGTTGTCTGTCTGGATTGCTCCTAGCTCCCACTTCCAAGCTAGCTGACCTAGGGAAACTTCTCTGAGCTTGGGCATTCTCACAGGTACATGGGTAGACAACAGTATATTACTTCATGTGCCTGCCGTGAAGATTAAACGAGGTGTCCTGCATGCAGGAAGAGCTCAATGAATGTTGGCAATTATGATTCAGTGGACTTTCTGTTCTCAGCACTCTAAGATAAATATTGAACAAAATGGAATAGTTTCTTTTTTGTAAGTAACCATCAGAGCTTTCTTGCTTTCATTTAAAAAGAATTCTAAATCTAAGGCTTCTGGAAATCCCTCCTCCTCTCCAGGTGTGGGGGATGGACAGAAGACTGGTTGTGCTATAGAAATTTGTCTTTGAGCTCAAAAGATCCTGACTGCTGTTCACGCCAGTCCGTGTATGCGCGTGACAACAACCGTTTCAGGCCAATGGTTTAAAACTTCTCTTTGACCCTGAAGAAAGGGGTCAAAGGTTTTGTGAAATGGTGTTTTTGTTATTGATTTGCGGGCTTCAAAGACATACAGATATTTGAAGAAAGGCAGCTCTTTGTCCCTTTCTATTATCTTTGAATGTCTCAATGTTTTCCTACTTCAAAAACTCTTTAGCCTGGCTGGTGTGGCTCAGTGATTGAGCGTCAACCTGTGAACCAAAAGGTGTCTGGTTTGATTCCTGGTCAGGGCACATGCCTGGGTTGCAGACGTGCAGGAGGCAGCCAATAGATGTTTCTCTCTCATCAATGTTTCTATCTCTGTATCTTTCTCCCTTCCTCTCTCTCTCTAAAAGAAATCAATAAAAACATAAAAAATTGCTTCTTTTCCTCAGAATAAAAATAATACATAGTAATAAATAATGTTGAAAGTGAAAGTCTGCTCTCTCTGTCAGAGACCACTATTCACAGTTGGGATATTTTCCTTCAGACTTCTCTCAAAGCATGTTCTGACATCATATTATTATTACAACTTAAGTAATTATAAGTGTTCTGCATTTAAAATGTGGCTATAATAATACAAATTCTGTTGTGAAATATGAATTTAAAAGAACCTATGTGTTTTCAAAACAGGAGTTAAGCCACAATGTCTCTCAAAGGTTTCAGCATCATTTGCTCCTATAAGCTTACAAAATGAGATCTCTCTTCCCAGAACTGGTAAATATTTATCTTGTGTGATTCATTTGATTAGCTGATATATTAAAGGAGAAATATAAACCCAAACTCATTTTTATTAAATGTGGGGAAGAGGATGGAACAAGGAAAAGGCTTTCTGCTTATCAATTGTTGTTGAGGGACTGACATCAGAATAATTCCAGGCAGGCTTCTTTTGTTCCAGAAACTCTGGAAAACAGGCCAGCAGTAATGTGCAAAGAGAAGGTGACTCACAGGTAAATTTGTAAATATTTACAGCCCCTACTCAAGTAGTAGTGTGTGCATCTGTGGTGATAATTTAATGAGCTTTTTATTCCTGTTGGGAAAAGTGACATCTCATTTATACAGAGAGACATTTACATGGTCACCAGCAACAGGAAGGATTGCTCACTGGAGCCAGCTGATACAACAAGATGATTTTTATTTGTTTCTTTGTTTCCCTGTAGCTTTCAATAGCCCCATCTTTAGGTTCTCCCCTTTAACCTGTAAGTGCTACTACCTCCAGCAGTGATATTACATAGATAATGGCCTGTTAGGTACTTATGCTGTCCAGCCTTGGAGCAGGGGCCTGGAGGTGCTGTCTGTGGCAGGCTGCGTCTCTGGCACC